GGGATGGCGGCGACGACGAATTCCGATGGCGGCGGGCAGATAGCGCAACCTGTAGTGGCATGTTGCTCAAGATGTGTGTGTGTGTGTGTGAGTGTGAGTGTGTGTGTGATGTGTGTGTAGTGTGTGTTTTAGGTGTAAGTGAGAGAGAGAGAGTGGGGGTAGTGGGTTAGTGATAGAGTCCATGAATAAACACGTAATGTCTTTTTTACCCCTATTGAAAGGTCAAATATGTACATGTAACCGCAAAATGTTAAATGAGACTTAATTACAAAATTTCCATTACAAGTTTGAACATTTTTCAATTTTGACTTGATCATTGTTAAGTATATCAAGGCCCAGGCCTATAAGGCCCATTATGAACTCTATATATATTGTCCTCGCATATAAAAGGATCATCAACTCAAAACCCTAGGTTTGTATCATGGTATCACAGCTTTTCACATAAATATATTTTTTTCGATCTCACCTCCCACATCATTCAAATCGTTGCCTCAAGACGAACGTTCCGGCCGAAATTCACCGTCAGAAGCTGTGCGTGTGAGCTACACGGGCCGTTGAAATTTTCTGCCGGCAGTCCCACGCGCCGGCGCGTGAGAGCGTGTGACCCGCCGGAATTTTTTCCGGCGGACTTCCGTGGCGGAATTTCGAGGGGGTGCTGCCAGTGCCTTCAGTTTACTTTTTTGAAGTTGTTTTGGTGTCCGTTTTGGCGTTTTTCAGATCAACCACTTGTCAAAGTTAGGGTTTGCTTATTCCAATCGATCCTGACACTGTTCAGTCCCTGATTTCAGCCTTTACTCGTCCGTCTTGTGATTTTACGCTGCCCGTCGCAGCCTTGTCTCTCATATTTATCGTTGTTCGCATATCGTCCGCCCATTGCAGAGGTATTTTGTCATCTGTCGTCGAATCATGTCGCAACTCAATGCCATTGTTACCAATATCACTCTCGATGGCCAAAATCATCGGGAGTGGGCTTTTTCTGTGGAAACAGTATTGAGGGGTTATGGTCTCGCTTTCCACTTGACCGATGATGGCCCTGAACGAAAAGTGGGCAATAGCGATGCTGCTGAGATCAGAATGTGGCAAATTAATGACGGGAAAGTGATGGCTGCCATCGTCAATAGTGTCAAGCAGTCCATGATTATGAGCCTTTCCACTTTTCGAACAGCTAAGGCTATGTGGTCCTATTTGCAACAATGCTACGTTCAGGATAATGGTGCACTCTTGCACACACTTTTGCAGCAAATTCGTGTCATTAAACAGAATGATATGTCCATTGATGAGTACTACTCAGCTTTTGATCGTTTGATGGGACCATTGATCTCCATGGTGCCTCCATGCGTGGAAGGGGAGTGCTCAGCACATAAATTTGTGGAGAAATTTTTTATATGCCGCTTTGTCATGGGGGTTAGAGCAGAATTTGAGTCTATTCGTACACGGTTGCTTCATAACTCTTCTACTCTAACCATGGCACAAGCATTGTCTGATTTGATTGCTGAAGAGACTTGTCTCCGCTCTATGTCACTTGCTTCGTCAACAATATCTCATGGTGTATTGGCTGCCTCTCATCGGGCACCCTCCCAACGGATTAATGCACCAAAAGGTGGTTCTTCAAACTCTTGTCAGCATTGCGGGAAAACATGTCATATTGCAGAAAATTGTTTTGCTCAGCATCCAGAAAAATTGGCTGAGTACCATGCACGTCGTGCTGCTCGGACTCGTGGTACGACTCCTGTTACTAAAATGACTGCATCTGTTGCTGCTGCCTCGCCTGTCAATTCTCATCAGTCTTGGGTTCTCGATTCAGGGGCATCATTCCATGTGACTTCTGATCAGTCCCAATTGGTTGCCTGCAAATCGGTCACGGATGGTACTTCTATTCAGACAGCTGATGGCGCATCTTGTCATATTACTCATCAAGGTTCTTTATGCAATTCACGTTTTTCAGTGCCTAATATCTCTATGTACCTAAGTTATCCATGAACCTTCTTTCAGTTGGTCAAGTCACTGATCAAAATTGTTTTGTTGGATTTGATGACTCATCATGTTTTATTCAGGATCGTCGAAGCGGGATTGTGATTGGGACTGGCCATCGCCGTAGGGGTTCTTCGAGTCTTTACATTGTAGACACTTTGCATCTTCTCGCTCTACCTAGTTCTGCCGCTCGTGTGTCATCCATTGCATCGTCTTCCGTCTCATCCTTCGCCAAATGGCATCACCGTCTCGGTCATTTGAGTGGGTCTCGTTTGTCTACTTTGATTAGTAATGATTGTTTAGGTCATAATTCTATTGAGTCTAATTTTCATTGTAAGGGTTGCAAACTCGGGAAACAGTTGCAACTCCCATATTCTACTAGTATTTCTCAGTTTGTTATGCCTTTTGATCTTATCCACTCTGATGTATGGGATCCATCCCTTTTTCCTACAAAAAGTGGCAATAAATATTATGTTATTTATATTGATGATCATTCTCGATAACTTGGATATATTTTATGAAACACCGTTCTCAGTTTTGTTCCATTTATAAGGATTTTGCTCACATGGTTCATACTCAGATTTCTAGTCCTATTCGAGTTTTTCGTTCTGATTCTGGTGGTGAGTATTTATCTGACAATTTTCGTCAGTTTTTGACCTCTGAGGGTACTCTTGCCCAACTCTCCTGTCCTGGTGCACATGCTCAGAATGGTGTTGCGGAGAGAAAACACCACCATCTTATTGAGACTGCTCGAACCCTTCTCATTGCCTCTTTTGTTCCTTCTCATTTTTGGGGAGAAGCTGTGTCTACGGCTGTTTACCTTATTAACCAACAACCGTCATCCAAACTGTCTAGTAAGTGTCCTGGTGAGGTTCTTTATGGTCATCCCCCTAGCTATGATCATCTTCGGGTTTTTGGATGTACATGTTATGTGTTACTTGCTCCTCGTGAGCGCACTAAACTGACTCCTCAGTCGGTTGAGTGTGTCTTTTTGGGGTATAGTCTTGAGCATAAGGGTTATCGTTGTTATGATTCTTTTTCTCGTCGCATGTGTATATCTCGTGATGTAACATTTGTCGAGGATCGTCCTTTCTTTTATAATCCTTCCACACACCCCACATCTTCTTCTTCTTCTTCTTCTACAGAGTCTACGTCCTTCTTATGTCTTCCTCCTATTTCTTTTCCTGATGATGTCCCCACCTCTCATGATGAGTCTTCACCACTTGTTTCTGATGAGCCTTCCTCATATAGACCATCTATCACACAGGTTTATACTCGTCGTCCACTAGGTCATACGACGCTTCCGCCTCATTCTCCTGTCTCGGCCAGTCCTGATACTCCCATCCTAGACGACACTGTTGATTCTGATGTGTCACACGGTATTCATGGAGAGTCTATGGTTCGTTAAAGATATAATTTACGTGATCGTGCTACTATTGAGCCTCCTGACCGGTTGGGTTTTCCACGTGCGAGTGTTATTGTTGATGAACCATCCATTTATCTGGAAGCTTCGCGTATTCCAGAATGGCAACTTGCTATGTTCGAGGAACTTGCTGCACTTGATCGTACGGGGACTTGGGAGTTTGTTCCATTACCGTCACATGCTGTACCTATCACGTGTAAGTGGGTCTGCAAGATTAAGACGAAGTCGGATGGTTCCATTTAGATATATAAAGCTCGTCTTGTTGCTAGAGGCTTTCAACAGACTCAAAGACGAGACTATGATGAGACTTTTGCTCCCGTTGCTCACATGACCACTGCCCCTACTTTGATTGCGGTGGCTGCTACTCGTTCTTGGACCACATCTCAGATGGATGTGAAGAATACCTTTCGTCATGGTGATCTGCATGAGGAAGTTTATATGCAGCCACTACCGGGTGTTACTGCCCCCCTCCGGACACGTTTGTCGTCTTCGTCGAGCCTTATATGGTCTCAAACAGGCTCCACGTGCATGGTTTGAGCACTTTGTTTCTATCATACGAGCTGCTGGTTTTTCCCCTAGTGATCATGATCCTGCCTTGTTTATTCATGTCTCTCCACGTGGACGTACTCTACTTGTTTTATATGCTGATGATATGCTGATTACGAGAGATGATGCAGATCATAGTTCTCATGTCAAGAAACAACTTGGTCAGCAATTTCAAATGTCCGATTTGGGTCCTCTTAGCTACTTCTTGGGCATTGAGGTGATGCACTCTGACTCGGGCTATTACCTTTCTCAGGCTAAATACATACAAGATCTTCTTGTTCGTTCAGGTATTACTAATAATCGGACAGCGGCTACACCTATGTATCTTCACTTGCAGCTTCGCCCCACTGACGGTACACCTCTTGAGGATCCCACTCGATATCGCCATATTGTGGGTAGTCTGGTTTATCTTACTGTCACCAGACCCGACATTGCTCATGCTGTTCATATATTGAGTCAGTTTGTGAGTGCTCCTACTTCAGTTCATTTTGGGCATTTGATTCGTGTGTTACGGTATTTAAGGGCACATCATCTCAGTGTTTGTTCTTTGCTCGTGATAGTCCGCTTCAGCTTCATGCTTATTCGGACTCTACTTGGGCGAGTAATCCAACAGATCGTCGTTCTGTCACTGGTTATTGCACTTTTCTTGGTTCTTCTCCTCTTACATGGAAGTCCAAGAAGCAGATTGTTGTATCACGCTCTAGCACAGAGGCAAAACTTCGAGCACTTGCCACTACCACTTCAGAGATTATATGGCTTTGGTGGTGGTTGGCTAATTTTGGTATTTCATGCGATGCTCCTACACCTCTTCTTTGTGATAATACTGGAGCCATACAAATTGCCAATGATCCCGTGAAGGATGGGCTTACAAAATACATTGGGGTCGATGCTTCCTTTACCCGATCTCATTGTCATTAGAAAACAATTATTCTTCAGTATGTGCCTTCAGAACTGCAAGTGGCAGATTTTTTTACCAAAGCACAAACTAGAGAACAATCGGCTTCACTTGCTCAAACTCAATGCTTCGAATCCTCCACCTCCACCTTGAGTTTGAAGGGGGGTGTTAAGTATATCAAGGCCCATTATGAACTCTATATATATTGTCCTTGCATATCAAATGAGATCATCAACTCAAAACCCTAGGTTTGTAACAATCATGACCACTGTGTTAGAATCAATGGTACAGATTTATTCTCATTTCTCATTTCTGAAGCAAAGAAGAGAAGCCAACAAACCGACAGAACATATATTATATCATATATATTTACTGCTTTAACATTATTGATCAACAACTAGCACACAAAAAGAAAGCCATCCGTTGTGCGCATCCTTACTTACAAGGCTTATATCACACACAATAGATTACCGACGGCACGAATTGCCTATCAATGTCCAGCCCATATATCTTGTAAATCAGACCCAAACTCTAGTCAGGCTTCATATGCTGTGCACGTGGCTCATCCACCACCTGTTTCAAGATTTGACAGCTACTATAAAATGGTCCTCGCGAGATCGGATCTAAAAGGCGCCTGAGGTCTTAATTGCGGGATTTCGGGCCACAGGTCGAGTGAGGTTCTCGAGTTGGGCCTCAGTGGTGATACCAAGCGATCACCATAATTGTGGCTGCTTGGCCCAACTGAAGTGTAGGAAGGATGTGGTGGGGAAAGGAGAGAGCTCTTGTAAGCTGGCCCTCGATGTCTTAACGGGCTTGATGATGGGGACACTGGCAATGACGTTATTGCCCTTGTGTTATCCCTGAGACATTTCAAGGAAAGAAGAAAGGCAGTTGTCAGCTGATGATATGTGAATAAAATGCTGTCTTATTGGGCTTTGAGTGGTTTTTGCAGGGTACCATACCTTGGGCTCAATAAGGTCCTGGGTATTGTTAACAATGAGGAATCTTCTCTTTCAAATGAACTGTACATTCTGCTGGAATGCATCTCCAGTATTGTCTGCAGTTAATAACAGAACAAATTGGTAGGCAAATTTAGACTCGAGTATCTGTAGTTCTCAAGTTGTCTTTTTACAAGACGTAAAAATGTTGTAGCTGCATTATTTGTCCATTAAAAATGTGGGTACTGCAATCATGAGAATTTGATTACATATAAATTTCTAAATTATTTGACATCACTATTGNATTCATACAACATTGAAATACGAAAAGTTCCAACTAGTTCAAACCAATTCTGTGGGTTGATACAATTTTATTTTGTGGAGAATTGGCTGGGTCAGTTCTCCAAAACTATGAAAAGATGAGAAAAAAAAAAAGAATTATTAAGATTCATGCAGTTGAGAGAAAAATTACCGGGGTGCGGCTTCCATCAAAGGCACGGGGAAAAGCGTCTCTAGTGATATTAACATTAGTTGCTCGAGCTGTAGTTTGGTTTCTGACAAAAGGGTGACCGAGTAATTGGGCTGCCGGGGGTCTCGAACACGGTTCCCTCTGCAAACACAGCCTTATAAAACTTTTGGCATCAGCAGATAAGTGATCGGGAATTTCTGGAGTATCTCTACTGTTCCCAATTTTAAATATAGCAGCAACCTGAAAAAACAAGAGCAAACCCCTAAAATTCTAGAGTTTCCAATGTTATGAATCATCAAACTTAGCATCAACTTTTTCGTGTGGAAAATGCCTAACCCCTTCATATTGGCTCCAAGGTGGTTTACCGGATGCCATTTCAAGAATTGTGCATCCTAAGCTCCATATATCCACTGGGAGACTGTACCCATTGGTATTCATGACAACCTAACACAAGATTATTGAAACATGATGGTGAATATATTTGTTCTAAATGATTTTAATATATATATATATATATATATATATATATATATAGTTTCTGTACACACTATGTATCTTAAAGTGGAAAGGGATAGAGGACCTCAGGTGCCATCCAGTAAGGGCTTCCTTTGAAGGATAGCATTGAAGAACTTGAAGATATCTGTCGTATCAAAAGCACTGCACTTAAGAGTCGTTATCTTGGAATGACTAAATCAATATCACAAGTACCACTGTACATGACAATATTCAATTGAGTTACTTCTTATACATATATATCAATTGTGTTTACAGCACAATACGACCAATCATGTTCTTTTGCTTTTACTGACGAAAAACCGGAAAAAGTGAACATGGTACATACATGTTTTGCCATGCCAAAGTCAGCAAGTTTTACTTCACCATTGGGATCAACTAGAATATTTGCTCCTTTGATATCTCTGCAGAGAATATGTACAAAATTTCAATAAAAGATCAATCTCGCATGTGGATAGAAAATTTATCATCACCAGAAAGAAGGAAAATGATACCTATGCACTGTATTGCGTCCGTGTAAGTAGGCCAGACCAGATAGAATCTGACGTGTGTAATTTTGTATTACAGGCTCCCCAAAGGGCCCATATTCTCGCAATAATTTGAAGATGGAACCTCCCGAAACATATTCCAAATAAACTGATAATCTTTCTTCGCTCTGAAAATAGGTACGCTTGCGTATGATTGCCATGCTTAATCATAAATTTCAATTATATCTAAAAAAATATGAGATAATGGACTAGATAAGAATATACCAGATCACTTCCATAGTATTGAACGATATTAGCATGCGAAAGCTGACTTAGCAAGGCTATCTCCTGATCCAAAATTCAAACATGTTGGAAAAAAACATTAGATGGGTGAAAAGGACATGGGATCCATGTATAAAACGAAAGCTTTATAGGGAATATTGAATACTCTTCCTGAAGTATACTATACTACAAATCATTTTAACATGCATTGGGTTGGACCTGGTTCAGTTGCTTGAGACTTTCTTTTGATGACTGATCATCTGAAACAACTTTAACTTCTTTTATTGCGCACATTTGCCCATTCTCACTGCATCAAGATGTTAGAAGTCAGATAGACATCAAAGCAGACTGAATGTTCAAAACTTTTCCACAAGATGATCTTCAATGACATTACAACATGGATTTAACTATAAGCAATTTCTAACTTCAAGTTAACCGTTAGGAATGCTATAACATGCGTTTGAATGAAATTACAACATGCATTAACTATAAACAGTTTCTACCATCAAGTTAACATTTGGAATTTTTTTCACTAAATCTCACCAGCTTCTATGAAATGAAAGATGCCAAGTGTAGTAAGAAAAAAAATAGAAAATTGTACATCGAAAGATAGAATCTTTTCGACTGTCTAAATGAGTGAGAAAATATTTATTATAATATACATACACCTACGAAATTATCAAGCACAATACTACAATCTAGACCCAACTCAATACAATATGTTATCAACATACAAACAACAAAAACAATATGTTATAAACATACGATCACCAAAACCAAAGTCAAGTGTATTTATTTTCAGTTTGTTTCGTAAATCCCATTACCTGTTGAACCCAAGGTATACATGACCGAAAGTGCCTCTACCTAGAAGCCTCCCTTTCCTCCATTTCAAAGAGTTACCATTTGAGCTTTCATGTTTCCCAGGACTTTTTGCGGTTGGTAAAGCAGATGGACTTGCCTGAGGACTTGGTGGGAGGGGGAGTCTGTAAAGAAGCTCAGCCTTCCCATCTTCAAGCTTTACAGCTGGCGGTTCCAAACTAATACCACTAAATCGTGCATGAAGAGGTGATGTGGCAGTTGTACTACTCCTCGACCCTTGACCTGGGCTTCTCATTAAAGGGCTCAATTTGTTCCCCCCATATCCTCTGCCACAGAACACAAATTTCCACAATATTGAGACACATCAGAAACCAATAAGAGTGACTTCTAGCTGCTTTTTTACATCTAATGACAGATAAATTGGGGAAGAAGAAAAAAGTCCGTTCACGAGTAGTAGTTTACACTATGTTGTAAAGAATCTAATTTCCAAATTATAGGATTCATCTTCTTAACTCCAGCTGGGCGTACATTGGCACAAATATGAGTAGAGCCATAGAGGGGAAATCATGAAGTAATATTAAAGGTGATAGCCTTTTGATTGAAATAATTTGTGCAAATTCTGCAAGAATTGACAGAAAGTGAAATATCTACAATTGAACAACTCCTATTCATATAAGAGGACAAAGTAGTAAAGATCCAGTCCTGGAGTGCCGGCACAAAATTTCGATCTCATTAGGAACTAATTCCACTATTTAGAGAAACAGTACAAAGAAAAAAGTAGTTAATGAGCTCCTCCTGGACATAAAACAGAAGATATAAAAAGGAAAATTAGACACCACAGCCTTGAAAAAAAACAAACTATCACTACTCGTGAAAATACCACATCAGGATGAAGTTAAAAATCAGAAATCAAACCAACCTAAACGCAGAGTGATCAACTGCACCATGGGCGTGATCATCGGAAGACCCAGATGAGCTTACACTTGAGACCGAGCCCGACCCAGATCCACAACCCGGCCCGTGAAAAGTATCATTAGGTGTCTCCAAAGGCCTGGGCAAGGGAAGCCCTCTATCCAAAGACGAGGCCGAATCAAACCCAGAAAACCCAGATAAATTACGGGCTCCTAACTCTCTTCCACCACCCGAAAATTCCGTACTGTTTCTAGGCGAATTTCTCGATTGCTGCTGTAGCAAGACTTCGTCAAAGCTCTTGACTTTCTTGTCACTATCTTTTTCTCTCTTCTCATTCTTCAGCGACGAGCTATTGGGAGAATTTTCCGAATCTCTGCTCCGCCGAGATTTTTTACCCCACCAAGCAGGCATCTTTTGTTTTTCCCCCTCAGATCAAAGTCAATTGAGAACCAAGCTAGAGTATGTAAATGAAATCTGCACAATCATACATGAGTGTATGTGCCGATAATATGTATGTGTATGCGTACTTATGTACCTAAATTTACACCAATCAAAGAAAAAGATAAAGGGTCCGCAGAACAAGTTGCAGACGAAATAAAGATGAAAAGACCCCCAACTACGGTTGAATTATGTATATATATGCAAATTCGTCTAACCTAACTAAGCTGGAGTATTATCCATCCTTTGTTTTTGCTTGAAGTTTATTTGAGTGAGAGAGAGAGAGAGAGTGGTGGGGGGCCAATGGAGAAAATGAAAACGATGAATGGGAAAAGGACAGAGTAATTGAACAGCTAAGGCTGTTGGGCTTGGGAGTGGGACGGCGGGCGGTAGTTGGATTAAAACCAAGCTACTAGACTTACAAAGTTACAATTGTACTGTTACGCATTCGTGTGTGCACGCGCAGCTGTTGGCGCGTGATCCCATGTCGTGTGCGAGTACGTGTGTGGCCACTGGCAGTGGTAGTAAATGCATGCACTTGGAGGTGGTGGCGAAAATGAAAAAGGTGCTCCTGCTTTTAAATCGATTAATTAATAATTAAGTGTTATGAAATATTTAATTATTTTTGTTAATCTAATGTCAAATGGAGTCAATATTTGATTGGATGCACTTGGAGGTGGTGGCGAAAATGAAAAAGGTGCTCTGCTTTTAAATTGGTTAATTAATTAATAATACAGCGTTATGAATATTTAATTATTTTTGTTAACTTATGCAACTATCTAATGTCAAATGGAGTCAATATTTGATTGGATTTTTTATCTGAGTTTGCATTCTATAGTCACTAAGACCATCTCCAATCATACTCTCCAAGCTTCGAAAAAAATCGTTCTCTTCGCAACCCTAACTCCCAAATCGTGCAGCCTCTCCGTTTCCACTCCTTGTCTTCCGGTGCTAGCCTTCCTCGGTGACGATTAGTCACCGGCCAGTGGTCATCTCTGACTGCTCGGCCCGGCCCTTGGTTCGCGAATCTTCGGGGTCCCTGCAGGGGTCGCGATTGGTGGCCTCCCCTCTGTCGCCGGCGAGTATGTGTCGGGTGGTGGCGCTCCTCCGGTCTGGGTTGGTTGGTCTTCCTCGGTCATCGACTGTCTTCAATTGGAGGTTAGTGGCCCCTGCTCTTCTTCGTCTTGCTGGTTTGTCGGAGGTTTCCCTGGTCGGCCTCGCAGTTCTCGGCGGGGCTTCCGGTGGGTTCGGGCTATGGTCGTCGGCGGTTTGCAGTGGAGTTGGGAGGCGAGTGAGCCAGGGGTTAGGGTGGGACCCTGAAAGATGTGGTTGTTCCGGTTGCGGCGACCGAGGTTGAGGAACCGAGTCAGGAACCAAGTCATCCTCACCCTTCCCCTTTCGGCTAGTGGTGTTAGGCGATGGGGGTCCCGGCACTTTCGAGCTTGTCTAGTGGTGTTAGACGGTTTTGAGTCGGGGTTGGTGTGGGGGCGGTTTGTCTTCCTCTCGGTCGGTGATGAGTTGATTCGGGGATTGGCACGGGGCTTGATGTTGGCTACTGTATAGGCATTTTGGCAGTTTCGGTAGTGTTTCTTCAGGCTTGGTATCCTTCTTGTGTCGACTGTTCACTGCTGGCTGAGTCTGATCGATTGCTGGGGAAGGGCCTTTTGTGTTTATTTTAGTTTTTATTCTATTTTGTCGTTTTGTGTTGTTTGAGTCTGTGTTGTTTATTTTTTGTCTTGTTTTTTAGGTTTGGGCCGTTGGTCCAGGTACTGGATACTGATTCCCCTGTGGGGTGCGTTTCTATTCTCCTGTGGGGAGCGTTCGTAGTTGGTGTGTTGGTGTTTTTTAGTTGTGTGTTATGTGTTTCTTTTCTAGTGTGGCTAGCGAGGCTCTAGGCGGTTTCGACCCGTCCTCCCAGTTTCTAGTTCCTGGTTGTAATATTCAGCCATGGGCTGCTTTTTGGCGCAGTTGTGCGTTTTGATCTATAATATCCCTATCGTTTCGAAAAAAAAAAATAAAAAAAAAAATCATACTCTCCATTTTTACAGTTTCTACAGTAAAATCCAACTAGTTTTAAAGTTTCAATCGTGCCAACAACTATTTTCTAATTTTATTAGTTTATTAAATAATCTCTACAAATTATATTTTGATGCATAATGCTTGCATTCCTTTCTCCATATGAATGGGTGCACTCTGAATTGGTAGGTGTCGTTTTTAAATAATGGGGTAAAATTTACATATATATATATATATATATATATATATATATTAATTATTGATTAATAAGATTAATTAATAAATTTAAATCAAAATCGTAAAATTACACATTACATCATAAAACCACGTGAATTTCATCATAAACATTATTTTTTTAAAAAAAATATCAATACAAACATGAAACATTCAATACAATAAGAACTACGAACAAATAAAATACAACACTACTTATTGCCAAGAGAATATTTTTCCCACAAATGTGCAACCAATGCATTACGAAGTTCATAGTGGGAAGACTTATCCTTAATTCTTTTGTGTCGAGCAAGAAATTGTTGAAAAGAAACGTGATCTCGCGATGCTGGAGTAACCATAGGAGCACCAAATTGAACATCACTTCTAATTGGTGCACTAAGATCACGTTGCTCTTCTACATTCATATTGTGCAGAATAATACATGCTTTCATTATATCATTAAGCACCCTTTTTTCAAAAAACGAACAGGACCCGCGATGATTGCAAACCTTTTTTTGCAGAACCTCAAATACACGCTCAACATCTTTTCTAGATGCCACCTGTCTCATTTTAAAGTATTCCTCCATTGGATTTGATGGTGCAACAAAAGACTGAACAATAGTGGACCATTTTGGATATATACCATCTGCTAAATAATATCCCTAATTACACTGTTTGCCTTGAATGGTATAATTGCTGGTGGAGCGATACCTTCAGCAAGATTTGACATTAGAGGTGATGCTCTCAGCACGTTAATGTCATTATTGGCACCTGGCATACCAAAATATGTGTGCTATATCCATACATCATAATCTGCCACAACTTCCAAAATGATTGTTGGTTTTCCGGAACGTCCAGAGTATTGACCAGCCCATGCTTTAGGGCAATTCTCCCATTCCTAGTGCATGCAGTCCAAGCTACCTAACATACCTGGAAAACCACGTTGTTCACCAATATGAAGCAATCTAGCGATATCATCGTGATTTTGTGATCTCAGATATTGTGCTCCGAAAATTTCAACGACTCCACGACAGAATCTCTTTACGCATTCATTTGCCGTTGACTCAGCAATCTTAAGATATTCATTGACACCATCTGCAGGGGTTTTATAGACCAACTGACGAAGCGCCACTGTCCCTTTTGTATATTTTAACAATCCAAGTCGACCAAGACAATCCCGGCGTTGTTGGAAAAAACTATTATGATTTTCTAATGCTTGCATAACACGCTTGAAATTATGAATAGAAATTTTAAACCTACGACGGAATGTATCTGCATCGTAGGTTGGATTACTGCTAAAATAATCTCGAAACAGAGTGCGATGGGCCTCCTCCCGATCACGATGGACAACTCTATGTCCTGGAACAGAACCTCCCCAAGTTGGTTGGCTACTTTGCACAGAGATAGCATGTGCCATAAAAAAATTGTTGGTTTGCAATATATGGGCGGTGGTTGTTTCCAAAGTGTTATAAAAAAGAGGTAATGAAGCATTTGCATCTTCCACATCAGAGTCATAATTATTGGGAGGAAGATAATTCATTGTGAATGATATTAGAGGAAAGTATTACATAAATATTTGATAATGAATGTAATATGTAGCTTGGATGGTATGATGTATAGTTTCATGTTTATATAAACAAATGAATGAATAAAAGAAATAAATGTTTTCTTCATTGGATTCTTTTTCAGACAAATCCATGTGAAACTTTATTTATTCACATTATTTTTCGGACAATGACAAATACATTGGATTCTTCTATGTGGATGATAAATGAATAAATTAAAAATTAATTTGCATTTGTCATCAAATGCATTGGATTCTTTTATGTGGATGACAAATGAATAAATTAAAAATTGATTTGCATTGGATGACAAATGCATTGGATTCGTTTCTCTATTTATAGATCTTCCTTCATCATAAATCACACTCACATCTCATTTATTCTTCTATTATTGTAGTCTTCTTGGTCCCACTCTTCTTGAATATCTTCTTTTCTTCAAAATGTCTTCTTCAAAAGGGCCAAAATATTCCAAACCAGAAGATGTCTTAATTGTGAGATGTTTCATAAGTGTTTCATAAAATGCAATATCATCAAATGACTAAAGTTCTTCAACTTTCTGGAAAAAAATACATGATGAAAACAACTCCTCAAAACACAATGATTTACCAGAACACTCTATAAGGTCTCTTGACTCTCGTTACCTTCTCATGGAAACTCATTGTCAGAGGTTTAATGGATGCTTGAAGCAAATCGAATATCGCAATCCGAGTGGGACACAAATGCAAGATAGGGTGAGTATTTTATTTTAAGTTCAATCTCGGTTCATGTTATTTGCTTGTTTTATTGTTATACTTACAATTATATTTTTTTATTTTGTTTGTAGATTGAGCAAGCCGAACGATTGTTAGAACAAGACCCAAAATATAAAGATGGGTTCAAGTTCCAACATGTGTTCTGATTATTCAAAGAGTTTGGAAAATTTGATGATAATGTCTCCCAACCACGATCTCGTCGTCGGGATTTCGATACACTCAATAACTCTTCCGAGTCCGATGTTCCATATGATGGAAAACCAACACCAGAGTCTCCGGGACTGCCGTCTTTTAGTCCTCAGCAAAGTAACCATGGTGTTGGTGGAACATCTTCTCAACGTCCAATGGGAACAAAGAAAGCAAAATTGAAGAAGAAAAATGAAGACCAATTTTGCCAATAACTTTAAATGCTAAAAGTGATACTATTGTTGATTTGTTGCAGAAGGCCGAAGAACGTCAGAGTGTCCAGCTTCAATTGCAGAAACAACAACTTGATTTGCAGAAAAGGAGGGATGAAGATAGAACTTTGATGATAGATTTGAATTCCCTTACGAATCCCATGATACGTCGACATTGGGAACAAAAACAAATGCAATATTTACAAGAAAGAGAACTTGAGCAACAACAATCTCAAGTAACACCACCACCATCTAACACGGGTCAATTTGGATTTCTCGACAACATCGGGCATGACAGAGGAAATTTGAATGATTATTATGGTGACAACTAAGTCTATGGAATCGTTGTTATAGTATGTGTGAGCTTTAATGATGAGTTTGTTAGTTTATCTTTATGTTGTGATTTTAATTTTATTGTTTGAACCGTTACTTTTAAGTGAGTTAAATGTTTATCCTTATTTTTGTAATTTTTACTTGTCTGTTTGAATTATTTATTTAAGTAAATTTTAATACTAATTAATATTAGATCATATTAATTAATGAAAACTTCAATTTTCCATTACACTAGTGAAAATTTTACCATATTAATTATGATAATTAAGTTTAAAATATTTATAAAATATTTTAATTTAATCCATAATACTAATTAGTTCATTCAATATAGTTACAAAAAGGCCCACCCAATACATCTAAATGGGCCAAAATACCACCCAACATCATTTTACACACAAAAAAAAAAGGAAAAATGTGATAGAGGATGAACAGTGGAATGGTTGGCAAACGGTTCCGCACAACTTCTATAGAGTTTCCTGCAAAGATGGAGGGCTGGTTTGGGGATGAATTCCTCCAAAGGTGTCGTTTCCGCTGGCTATAGGGTATGGGTTGGAAATGCTCTAAGCGAGATAAAGAATAACGCAAACAATCCAACTATAAAGTTAGTCGATTCAGCCAATGTTTGATCAGTCCTGTTTCTTATTACCAGGTTTCGAGGTGAACTAGACCAGTCACCTTATGAACCAGACTAGTGAGGTGACAAGAATATTTCTTGGCCAACCACTCAGATTTCAAATAACAAATAATAATTTCTCAATGTATTTTAACTGTCTACTACTACCCTCTATTTATGTTTTAGATTCTCATACCTAGAAGATTATAAGAAAAAAAATATGCAGTAGACGAAGATAAAACGTTTTCCGTATTGTAATTTTGTGTCTCCCTGTTAAACTAAAGATCTTTACATGTTTATCCAGCCAACCAGCTAAGAGCAACAATGTCGCATACGATACGAAGAATTTCAAAAGACAGAATAAATTAATTACAGTTGCAGAAGGAATCAGGATCCAATAAATTTTATTCTTCACTTCAACTTAATGATACATTCTTATAAAATTGTGTATATCTATACAATCAATATACATAATATGACAATTGAGGGGACCCAAGTTATAGGTTCCAACAGGGAATTTATCAAGCATACAAGATCTGCTCCAATTCAGAAAACATATCTCAAGCAATAACAAAAACCCTCAATTCTCCTCTGTCCCCTCGAGTGATACGCGTATTAGAATCCAAATACGTAACCTCAAACTCACCAAATCCCGTATTAGACGGCGGCCTTAGGGCTTCCGGTAAACGGGGAACATCTAATGGGGGCAGCTGAGATAAGTTCCCCTTAGTCTTCACGGTTGTCTTCTCAAATGTTATCTTGACCCCCTTTGTACCTTATATCGCAATTTTTTTAAACAAAAAACTTCCATGAGGAATATATTCATATGCAAGAACGAGAGGGAAAGGAAAAACATTATAAGTAAAATGCCCCAAACCTATAACTTCGAATTTGTGGGCTAAGGTGGCAGTGACTTCTAGCGGGGGAAAAGGCCATGGAGCCCCCAATTCAAGCTCCACTATGTTATCAAAGTCTTTGCTAAAAATATCAATCCTTTGGAATACCTTATAAAACGCCAAAAACAAGCATAATTAAACAAAATATAATAACAATGATGATTGTGATTAAAAAGAAATGGAGAGAAAAACAAATACTCCCATCATCCACGTCCATTTGATGTTTAAGCTAAGCCTAGAGACTTATTGCTTCTTTTGGCCTCAATTATTGGTCCTTAATTTTTTATACATTCCATCTTTAGACCTCATGTATGGGTTGGGTGAGTGTCACCACAAGCAAATCCAAGGAGTTACCATATGCACGATGAATCATGTAACAAAATACAAGCAATAGAAAAAAATTACTTGAA